GGTGTGCCTTATTTGGATCTTCATTCCAACACTCATATTTAGAAGCATTATATAATAAGGGGAGAGTGAAAGATTGGGGTCTGTGTAAACAATATGAGCTAGCCAAATTAACGGTGTAAGCAGCATTCTGCTGGGCAAACTCTCACGTGTTTGGAGGGAAGGGGACACAAGCTACCAGAACAACCTGCTAGACAAGATACCCTTCCAGAGTAGGATACTGTGGGGGGAGGGGTTCCACAACTCCTTCAAGCTTTTGGTAAATATTACATGGGTTTGGGGATTATGGAAGCTGAAGAACTCACTGAAGGAGAGAAATCAGAAAGGGGCCAAGGGGATCTGGTTCTAGGCATAAGCACTCCATTGATGGAATCTGGCCACCAGAAAGGAGCTGGAAATTTTCAGAAAGGCATTTTAGTACACAGAACCCCATCAGGCATAGGTGTCAGGATATACAGGCCCCTTGTTTGTCCAGATCTAGGGTGGTGCTAGTTGAGATACTATTGTGTATATTAAGTTGCTAAGGATTAAGAAAAGTTAGTGTTCAAGTAGTGAAATTGTCAGCAAAGATATGGGAGGGACCTGGAGGTCTGAGCATGGCAGCAAGGCTTATGAGAAGTGGGCTAAATAACCTGAGGAGGTGAGCTTCCAAGCTGTTTGTTAAAAGAGAGATGAAGAATATTCTGGAAGCAATAAGGAACACCAAGTATTCTACCTTCATACTTCTAGATATTATGATATGAGTTGGAGAAGCAAAAATAGCCATTATGGGTGAGAGGGACAAACTACGCTTCCATTAGAATGAGCGGTGAAGAGCAAAGCAGATAAGGCTTTTATGTGTTAGAAGGCACAGCTGAAGGGTTCCAAGGGCTGGATAGGGAGGAAGCAAGAGAACATGGGGGTTAGAATGTAGATGTGAAATGCACTTGAGATCCTGGGGTTTTTGTGGTAATGGATATGAATGGACATTAAGGATTTAGTGAGCCAAGCATCAGGAGGCAGTGTTAGGGAAGCTGCGTGCTGAGAGCAGGAAGGGGAGGCTTCTGCAGTTGGATGTAGAGTCTTGGTGACAAAGATAACTGGAGAACTGTGGGCTTGTGGTCCAAAAGTGTCAGGCTCTTTAGATTCTTGTCATGAAAGCCATGTGCTACTCTGAGCTCACAGAGAGCAGCATGTAGAAGCTTTCAGGAAACCTGCTTTATTAAAAGGAGAGGAGTGATGAATGCTTATTCTGTGCCCACAGTGTGATAGGTACTGTGATTCTTGTGTATATTACAACTTTTTAGTACTATAACATCGATACAATATTTTAAAATCAAAATTGCTTTGGAGATGTGAAAACAGATCTTTGATGCTCATCAGATGGCTTGCTTTCTAACACTGCAAAAACATACTGCATGTTGTAATAGGAAGGTAGTGGCTTCAGAGCACTGAGGTTTTGTGGAGACAGGGCAGGTATACACATCTTTACCTTCATCAGTTCCTACGAGACAAATGTTTGTAGAAGAAAGAAAATATAAATAATAATAAGCAAGGGTGCTGGCTCCAAGAAGCTTGGGGCTAAATGGTGTTCCAGGAAGGACCAATCAGCTGCTTTTATTAGAGTGTCAAAAAGCCCCTTAAGATAAACTGGTCAAAAACAAAACAAAACAAACAAACAAACAAAAAAACCCTCTAGTCTGTCTGTCTGAAGACTCACCTTTCCAGTTTCACTGGTCACTCACCTGGTCATATGACCCCCCCTAGGAAGGTGGATTTACCTTAAGTTATACTAAAAAGATGGGCAGAATATCTAGTGCATTAGTGAGATGGTGAACTTTTCTTGCTCTGAAACCCTACCTCCTAGTGCAGCTCTTGTGGGTCTGGGTTGTAGACCTGTGGCTCTCTCTAAGTTCTGCCCATTTTTCCAAAGAATTGAAAAAAAAAATAATTTCTCTCCTTTTCTTTTACATCTCCCTTTTCTAAGCACACTTTCCCTAATGCTTTTTGCTGCCCCAATGTTTATTATTATTATTATTATTATTACTTTTTCCTCCAAAGCATCCTTCTCCCTACCATTTGATTGCTGGTCCATTATATGTCTGATCTCCATGCAGGGTTTAAACCTGCATGGCTTCATGGCTTTTTTCCCTTCTCCGCCTCCATTCTCCTCCTCAAAGCAGTTGTCAAGATTTACAGCTTGCCTGCTCTGGAGGTTTTTTCTTTTAATTCTAATAAAATTGACCTAAAGCTTCCATTGAGACTATTCTTAAGTTATTTTATGAATGAGACTAATGACCCTCTAGGGGACACTCTTTCTTTCCTGTATCATTTTGGGGGGCAGGCTCACCATCACCGTGAGAATATTGTTTGCTGTGCTTTTGCACAAGGTTTAAAAACTCATTTTCCAGCTCAGCTTGGTCTTAAACTGTACATTTCCTTCAAACATGCATGCAGTAGAAACTATAGGAACTGTTATCTTCAAGTACACAGAGACATGAGACTCTAGAGCTAGAAATCATACACACCTCTTTAAATATCTTCCATGGTCCTTGTGCTGGATAGCAACTTGACACACCTGGGTTGGGGGAGCCTCAATTGGGGAATTGCCTCCACTGGACTGGCCTGCGGCCATGTCTGTGGGGCATCTTTTTGATTGTTGAGTGATGTGGGAGGGCCCAGCCCACTGTGGGTGGTGCCACCCCTGGGCAGGTGTACCTGTGTTGCATAACAAAGCCAGCTGAGCAGGGGCCAAGAGAGCAAGCCAGTTCCTCCAGGTCCTGTGCTCCAGCTCCTGCCTCCAGGTTCCTGCCCTGAGTTCCTACTTTGGGCTCCTGATGACCTATGACCTGGGAGATGTAAGATAAAATAAATCCTTTCCTCCCCAAGTTGGTATTGGTCAGAGTATTTTTGTCACAGCAATGGAGAAACAAACTAGAACAGACATCATAGGGGATTGCTTTAAGGAAGAGACAGCATAACGTGGGTATGTTGATCATTTTAAGGTCCATGTCATGGTTTTAAAAACTGCATTTAGGGTCAAGTTCTCAAAAAGGTATCCATTTGAGCACTGAATGAATTATCGGGACATTTTTGCAGCACACAGCTTTTTGAAAAATGTATATAAAACATATGTGGAAACCAGACAAAATTTACATTAAAAAAATTTTCACACCCCCATTCTTTATGAATGGAGACTCCCCTGGGGACACTTACACCTTTACACAGTAGCAACATAAACATCTTAGCCCTGATAATTATTTAATGTATTAAATAAGAATGCACAAGAACTGCAAGTGAGCACATTCATTAATTTTTATGTTGTTTAATCATCTCACAGCACCAAGATCTCTGGTTGCAAAAGCAGAGCATTTAACCAAAACTAGAGCTAGGCAGGCTTTCGAGAACCACCCATGAAGTATTGCCTCCAAAGGTCCCAGAATGCCTGAACTGTGAGGAGCCAGAGGCTCAGGGCTGTCTCCATTTTCTTTTCTTCGTTGCATCCTGCATGGTGGCACAAATGGAGCCCAGCCAGCAAGAGTTACAGTACTGTCTGGGGCGGTTGACATAGTCCACACCAGCTCCTCTCAACGGACCAGAGACTCTAGCTTCTCCAGCTCCTGCGGGGAGCCTGATGGCTCTCCTTCTCCATTACATGTACATCGGCACGGCTAAGCATTTATCCACTTATTCAATCATGCAGTCGCACTTACACACAGGGAACATTCACGGAGTGATTATGCGTGTGAGTTCCACCCACTGCAGCCTACCCTCGCGCCGCGCTTTGTCTGCGCAGAGTCACCACTACAGGAGTAATGATTGCGGGGTGAGCACCCTGCCTTTACGGCCCTTCCCACCCCACTTGGGTCTCTTGTGAACGCGAGAGCTGGCAGGGTACGAGAAGAGATGTGGGGATGCCCGGCTTCTCAAGGCGTCTTTCCTTCGGGTGGCTCGATGGGTGACGTCCTCCCGCGGGAGGGTGACGCCCTCCTGTGCCTTGGCGGAGTAGGTTGAGTGAGGCTTGGGTGTGGCCTCTCAAGGGTGAGATTCCTTGGTCGCCAGGCCTGGCATTTTGGAATGGTGAGGCTAAGGTTGGGGTCTCTAGCACGTTAAAGGGAAAGACGTCCCTGGGAACACAAGCAATTCTCCTTTCTTTTCTTTTTAAAATGCTGAGTAGTTTTCTCTACAGAAAGGAACTTCTGTCTGCCTTTGAGTCCGGCTGCTGCTTGCTTTCCCTGGTTTGGGGAGATGTGTCCTGTGTAGTCGTCGTTGTCGTCCGTATATCTTGTCGTCCCACCCTCCGCTCCCGCCCCCGCCCCCGCCCCCGCCGACGCGCATTGACATCTGCGAAGTTTCTGTCTGCTTTTGCTGCGCCCCTAGTTTTCTCTGGACTTGTGTGCCAGCGTGGAGATTGGGGTGGGGGAAGAATCAACCTGGTCCTGCCTAATGACTTCCTGGAAACCAAACCAAAGTTAACCAGTCCCTTGGCCCAGAAGCCAACAGCTAGCCTTCCTTCCCTTTGCACTATTCCGCAGCATTCAAAGCACAAGTTCCCCTTGTGTTTTGCGGGACGGGCCCAAGGAGCAGCCAAGAGCTCAAAACACAGTCACTCTGGGTAACTAATTCATCTCTGGCGCCTGCCTCTTTTCCTCTGCTACAAACTCTGAGCCTTGACTTCTCCAAAAGTACCGGTCACTTGGAGCTGACCCTGCCACCCCAGCCCGCTCCCGGGATCCGCACAGCAGCCGCTTCTCTGCACCGCACCCGAGCTAGCCCAGTTTTGTGCCCCCCCCCACCCCGCGCCGTGACTACCTCCCTGCGCAGCGCTTGTACTCGCGCCATGCCGCCGCCCGGCACTGCAGCACGGTGGGAGGGGGGCGGGGGAGGCGGAGGACCGCAGCGTGTAAGCCCGGAGCCACTTTCCCGCCCCTCCTCTCGTCGCTGACACGCTCCGAGGAGTCACCACTCCGCGCGCTGCGGGAGCGAGTGGCAGACGGAGGCGGCCCAGGGAAACGAGCGCCCAACTGGCGCTCGGCCACAGCTGCAGAGTCGACAGCACTCAAGTCGAGGGGTCCCCGGCGGCTGGGGTGGTGAGTAAGGGGTGCCCCTTCAGCGGTGGCCAGAGCTCGCTTTCTGCTAGATTTCCCTTCTGAACTGGGGGACCAAGCGTTGCAGCCGGGGAACTTTTCTCAGCCTTGCAGAAGCGCAACTAGCGCAACTTTGCCCAGTCTGGCCTCAGGCAAGCGGCTGCAGGTGCCTAGGGCAGCCAGCTGGGCACCTTTATTGGGATGGAATGGGGGGTAATCGGAGTAGAGCAGTCGGAGTGACCCCCGGTTGCCTGGGCTGGGGCAGAAAAGGCGCACTTCGTTTGGGATTCCCGGGGAGGTGGATGTTGCGCCCGCAGGGCTCTCCCAGCTCTTTTACTTGCGGGAGAGCGGGGGGGGGGGGGGGGGGGGGGGGGGGCAAGGGAGGAAAGAGGAGTCTGCTTCAAAACAAGCAACCAGAAGCCTCCCACCCGGCGCCCGACCTGTACCCTCCGTAGCCTTGGGCTCAACTTTTCTGCGGGGATCCCTCTGTAGACATGCGGGTGCCGGGAAAGCAAAGGAAGCCGCAGGCGAGGCTGCGGGAGGCTAACAGAAACCTTGTGAATTTTCAAACACTTCCACAAAATCTTCAAAGCCCGCAAGTAGTGTCTGTACCAGAGCAGGAAAAAGGCGGAGGGCAGGGAAGCCGGCGGGGCTGTGACTCTTTGTAAGAACCCGCACTTCCCTTACGCTGCATCTCCATTCAGCAAAACCCTATGGAGCTTCCAGCCCAGAGCATCTATGAGTGCAAGGCTCCGGTGAGAGGGACGGTCCCCAGTAAATAAACGGCTGAGGAATTCAAGGCAGAGAGGAAAATGGGGCACTAGCCCACCAAATTCTTTCGGTGGGCTGCCTCCCATCCCCC